AAGGACCTTCAAGTTATTACATTCAGTAAGTTTAATTTGAAATGAATACAGAGCAATGCTAAGAAAACTAAAAGCAACGATCATGAGTAACTAACTGTTATCTAACTTTGTTTGGCAGAGAATCCAGAAGTTGTTCATTCTGTACAGCTTGTGAATGTGATAGGAGAAGAAACACAGTACAGACTGCAGTGTGACATCATCAATGTTGCTCCTGTTCAGTATGTCAATGTTAGCTGGTACAAAAACAGTGAAAAAATCCAGACAGAATCTTTCAATGACACAACAACCAAAACTCCAGTAAATGAGTCCTCTATTCTGAGAGTCAACATCAGCAGAGAAGAAAATGTAGTGGAGTTCAGATGTGAAGCTCAGCTGGACTTTAGACCACACAGACCAAAACTTCCTGCCATTTCTAAAACACACAGAGTTTCAGCCCACTGTGAGTAAATATCCTGCTGTTTACACATGAACAGAAGTTTATTTTTATTTTTTTAAAAGATTAAACACAAGTTCCCTTCTGTTCAGCTTTCAATTGTGTAAATGTGAGAACTGATAAAAAACTGTTTATCATTTCAGACGCTCCAGAGCTAAAGACACAAAATAGTGCTGATGACACTTATGCACTTGAGGGCACTGATATCATCTTGAGCTGTGAAGCTGTTGGAAACCCTCTTCCTGTGTATAACTGGATTTGTGATGGGAAAAACATGTTGGAGAACACAACCAGTCTCAGTTTACCTCGAGTACATGGCAATAAAACCTGCGCATGCACAGCTACCAATTATCTGGGAAACATAACTAAGACAATCCATCTTCATGTTGAACCAAGAGGTATATATTCTTACTTCACATCTAAAATTGTGGATGATTTAGATGAAACTGCTGACTTATGTCTTATTTTACACCAAATCATCTCTAACTCTGAATATATTTGCTTGTGAATGGCAGGTTGCCCACTAACACTGACACCTTCTGAAACTGTTGTGAAATTTGGAGATCCAGTTTCAATCAACTGCAGCACATCAGTCACAGATGTTGAAGGAATGGGCTGGGAGGCTCCATTTGGAGGTACAGGATTTGAGCGTCCTCCTGTTGTCACTTGGAGGGTTGAAAAACTAGAAGAGTGGACTCCAAGTCCTTTTTGCTATGTTACTCTGGTTGATGGATCACAGCGTACTGTGAGTCCAGTCATCACTGTTTACAGTAAGTACATGTGACCACAATGTCCACAATGCTTTATTGTGTTATAAACTATATGAATTGAAATTTTTAATATGATATAGCAATGATTTAGCTTATTTATTTACAGAAACTCCAGATTCTGTGTCAGTGTCTGACATGGGTCATGGTTCAATGGTGGAGGGCAGAGAGTATGATCTGAAATGTGATGTCATTAATGTGGCTCCTGTGCAGAATCTCACAGTGACGTGGTACAGAGGCAATGAAACTGTGAAAACAGATACATTTAATGACTCCACTATGACTCCAGTAAACGCATCTTCTACCCTGAGAATCTCCACTCAGAGAGATTACAATGGATTAACTTTTAGATGTGAGGCTGAGCTGCACCTCGGACCCAAAGGACCAAAGTTCCCCCCTAATGTAACCTCACCACCTTACACTGCTGTTGTTCTTTGTAAGATTCCCACCAACTTACTTCATGTTTCTGATCTAAGACACAGCTCTGTGATCTATGAAATATAAATTAATCTATGTTGATATTCCTTCCTAGATAAACCATTCATGGAATCTTGTCCAGACCACGTCACTGTTGTTGAAAATGCTGCCTTCAGCAAGAGCATTTTATCCTGTCAAGCTGATGGGAACCCTCCTCCCACTGTTCAGTGGTTCTATGAGGGGAAAATCCTTAATTCATCTAAGCCACTGACCAGGACTGACTCAGGAAAGTACACGGCTATAGTTGAAAACAGTCGTGGCAGAAGCAACACCTCAGTTCATATCACAGTGGAATGTGAGTGCATCAGACCTGGGTCATTTTATATTTTAGCCGAATAATGATAAAACACACTAAAGTACTGACAAGATAATATTTTGTTTTCAATTATTTACTCTGAAAATTAATTTGTATAATTTTTACAGACAGTCCTTCTTTCACCTGCAAAGAGCACTATGAGATCACAGTGAATGATAAACATCAAAGTATCTGTGAACCAGTAGGATTACCTACACCCACCCTCACCTGGTTTAAAGATGGTAAACAGATGGTTTCCCCACAGCTCTGGAAAAAGAACGATAGTGGAAAATACTTGCTTAAGGCACACAACACGCATGGAACAGCTGAACACACACTGTATCTTGAAATTTTGTGTAAGTTTTAAGTTTTTAATTTTTCAGAATGATATAGTCTTTTTATGATTTTTCAACAGTGAAAATAAGTAATTTGAGATGATAACATATTTTGAAGGATATTATTTCTGTTTCAAAATTTTGTATTTTTTCCAGATGCCCCTGAATTCAAAGAAGGAAATGAAAGCAAGGAGGTACTGCAGGGTGAGAATGTTACTTTAAGCTGTAGTGCTGACAGTAACCCACCCTCAAACATCACCTGGATCTACACAGCTGCAGTGAATTCAAACATGACCACTGAGGGGCACCAGAAGACTGTCACTATCACTAGAGCCACGTCTACCAATGCTGGTTATTACATTTGTGTTGCAGAGAATAAAGTTGGGAGAAATACACGATTCATCACACTGATGATAACAGGTATGATTATTGACTCAGTGCAGAAGAGCTATGGGAATGTAGAAAGTGAAAGATTACTGATGTTCAATTTCAACAATGCATGGGATTGAGAAATTAAATGAATCTTATGTTTTGAATTTTGTTTCTCTTACAGGTAAAAGCAGTCAAATCCCATTTCCAATCATTTGGGTGTTGCTCACTCTATTGATCATCATTCTGATTCTTCTTGTGGTCTGTTGTCGCATTTGCCAAAAAAAACGTGGACATTACAGTTTTTTTCCTGTCAAAGTGTCAAATGTCTCAAATATCCCTTTGACTAGTGTACAAGCCAATGGAAAAGCTAAGGATTTTTAACGAATCCTGTTCTGTATATCAAATGTTGCCCCCTGGCCTGGTGGGTTTCAGGTAGGGAGGTGATCCAAAATCCTGCAACTGTTTATTAAAATACAGAAGAATGGATCATAAGCTTGTTTACAGCTTTAATCACAGGATTTATTCTACTTCCTTAAACAAAGAGAGACAAACTCAATCTCTTTCTATGATGACCAGCATCTCTTTGAAAGGTATGGAACGACAGATGTTAATACATTGCCAAAAACACATTAAAATTTAAAGTCCAATTAATTTATTGTCACAAATACAATTTGTGTTTCTTTAGCATAGCTAATGCACTTGAAGCACACTTTGCCTGCTAGCAAAAGGTCTGTTGGCCTATGACGATATAGACGTGACAATCTCACTTTAAGAACAGTACTTCCACATTTCTCATTTTCCAGAGTTATATTTCACAACAGTCTTATTATTATTTCTGCTTTGTTACATACAAGCCATTTTAAGGACTATTAACCAAACCTGTACATTAAAATGTTTATTCAGAAACACTTGTTGTGTACTCTATTTGGAATAAAATCTTATTTTTATATTTTGCTGTCTTTTTCTTTCTCCTCACAAGGCAGCTTCTTTTCAGTCTTGAAATATGAGTTGTGTACCTTGTTCAGCCGTCACTGTATTTAAACAAAATATCCTATTTTCATGCATCAGAACTTAATTATGGATCTTTAATGATTTGATTCAAAAAGGTGGGTGTTGCCCAGTATTAGTCAGAGTGTAAAGTGATGGTTTCCTTAGGTTTTATTTTCAGTTAATTAAATAAATACTTAAATAAACAAGATGAGGATATGTGTTTTCTTTTTCCTTTTAAAGGCCTTTAACAAGTCATTACAGGTGAATTGTGACCAAACAGACTATTTTACAATGACCAATACATGCCAGTAGTTCAGAGGTTTTTCAGACAGTGAAGGATAAAGAACTATGTTTTAGTTAATATCCATTATGCTAAAGGAGCATAATGTTTGCTTCAGTCCGAGCCTTGGGTTTTGATTATCACGAAAGAGTACCTTGAATAACAAAGACTCTCATTAGTAAATCTAAAAATAATTTATTTGCAACAATACAACATTTGAAAAACTTTATTAAGCATTAAAAATCACAAGAAAAAGCAAAACCCAAAGCTATGGGTCTCAGGCAATTGACTGAACAAAAAGTCTTTATACTCAGAGGCTCCCTAACACAAAGCTTAAAGTGCAATCAAAATTCACTGATCAGGTCCACAAGAAATTTGGAGGATCAGATCCCTCCCGAGTTGGAATGCACTAACCTGTGTTTTTCAATCTATAGCGTGCTGGGCGCTGATCCCCTGTGCAAAGGATGAACAACCGGCAGTCATTTGCTCCGAATTACCAAATTTGGATTTCATTTCCTTATAAGAACATTAATAGTTGAGCACAGATCTTAACTCTATCCGCAACCGATTCTCTCGTAGTTCCGCTCGTTTTGCACTTCTGTATTTCTCCGTCTCTAGCAGTTCCAGTCGTTCACCTCACAAGGCTGGACGAGAACCTCCCCACCTCTCCTCCTGCCCCACAGCAAGGTCTCTCTGCACCGTGTCTCTGTCCCTCCCACCAGACCACTTCATTGGTCCCTTCCTGGTGGCTCCCTGTCCTGATTGGCTGACGACAGTGTCCTTCAAGGACATGAACTCGCTCAGCTGTAAGTAAAACTCGACTTTTACAACAAAAACATGCATCAAGAAAGAATACAGCCACAGATTAAAATCACAGCCGATGCAATATAAAACCCAAGCAAAGCACAGAATCAGAATTTCCGGAGCTTGTATCTCGGGGAATCCTTTTTATACACCAGATTAAAGAAGTACACTATCAATGCAGAAGTACAACTTTGACCAGTGCAGGCTTATCAAGATGCGACACAGACTAGTAGTATTTTCGCTTGACGGGGATGCGAAAACTAGTTTGTTCCTGTTTTTGTCGCAATGTAAAAATTTTTTTGGAAGAACAAGAACTGCCCGAGTTAAATGTTCATGGTGTTGATTTCGAGTTTGAACTGAAGAAAGAAACGCCGGAGCAGGTTTACATCATGCTGAGATTGTACTCCCTTGGGGCGTCCTCCAAGCTGTTGGGATAACTTTGGAGAGGTTTTTTTCTTTCTTTTTTTGTGTGAGAGAAATAATCTGAAAGTTCGGCCAAATAAGTGACCGTTGATTTGGACACAGGGCTTTGGGTGAGTCTATCATCTGCCTCGTTTGTATGTATGATATTGTCAGTGTCATTAACATACATTTTCTGCAAGGTGAGGAAAGAAGTGAGAAGCTAATAGTCACGATATGAAAAGTGAAACCAACTTAGAAGTGCCTTAAAGTAGTAATATAGTTTTGTTAGTACTGTTTAATGCCTGACACCATTGGAGGACAGCTGAGACAGGACCATTCCGAATGCAGATGAGTACATCGCCTAACATTTACGTATTGTATTGCTACTTTCTGCTTTTACTTTAATATATTTTGAATGCAGGCATTATACTCTGTACTCTTTAACATTTAGTTTAAAGTTTTAGTTTCTTAGTATTTTGTACATTACTGAATATCAAGCTAAATTCAAAGGACATTTACCACACAGAGGGAAGACTGAGAGAACTAGTACTAACAGAATATAGAACAGAAGAGGAACAGAATACCAATGAAAAAGAATGAAAGTTACACAGTAAACAACAGTAGGAACCAGAAAACCTGATAAAAGAATAGAAATCAGAACCACAACTGCTAAATTTTAAAAACTATTAAAATTACACGATCATGACAATCTCTGGCACCATAAAGGTCGTTCAGTAAGGTTCTAACTTGAGTAAAAAGTCAAACGAATTTTTTGTCTACTTTGCAAAAGTTATTCAAGACAAAAACTGTTCACAGTTAATGCCCTGTATAACAAATTTGTAATAAGACGGAGCCTAACAGCACCAAAAAACAAAGCAAAAAAACCCAAAAACAGTCTGTTCATTCTTTTAATAATATAGATCTTGTTTAAATTTTATAACTATAATTCCAAACACATGAATTAACTCTGCCAGGGCGGCCATTTATCAACCATTCTATTTGTAATTTTTATGGACAGAGCTATGCACAGCCAAAGGTCCAAGGGTGTCAAGTTCAGTGGTGTTATGGAAATCTGAAAGAAACTGATCTACACAAACAGCTTGTCTTTGTGAGGTTTTAATTAGCCTTTGTAAAGGGGCCAAACAATAATACAGAGTACAACAGCAGTCTGCATGGCTTTTTACAAAGAATGACAACAAGCGTAGAAGCATAGAAACACATTATCTACCCATCATGGTCACAGAATACAGTCAGAACATTCCAAAGATAACTTGTACAGATGAATATATCTATAAGATAAAACATGTAGAGCCTTCCACTCAGCCAAATCAACTTAAAACAGAGGAAATCAGAATCCTAAAATTTCCTATTATGTTTCACATAAAAATCCAGCAATGTTCAAACTAGGGGATCTTTGTGTGTCATAGTGAAAGTGAAAATTTTGCAGCATCTCAACATGTCACTCCTCACACAAGAAGAGCATGTGTGGGTATTAGCTATACTTAAATTAAAACATTGTTTCTAAATTTGCCCTTGCAGCACTGTTGCTCAAAGTCACCATCTCATAGAAATATGTGAGGTGCAGCAGATGAAGTTTCAGTCAACTATAACTAAGGCAAGGCAAGGCAAGGCAAGTTTATTTGTATAGCACAATTCAACAACAAGGTGATTCAAAGTGCTTTACAGAGACATTAGAAACAAGAACAAATAAAAAGCATGATTTAAAATTGATTAAAACAAGCAAATAAACTAACTAACTAATTAACAAACAAACAAACAACAGTATATAAAATCAAAACAGATAAAATCAGAACAGTAGATAAAATCAGTAGTTAAATGTAAGTTTTGAAATTTAAGCTTAAAGTGTGGATTTGGTGCTTTATTCAAATGCAGCTGAGAACAGGTGAGTCTTCAACCTGGATTTAAATAAACTGAGTGTTTCAGCTGATCTGAGGCTTTCTGGGAGTTTGTTCCAGATATAAGGAGCATAAAAGCTGAATGCAGCTTCTCCGTGTCTGGTTCTGACTCTGGGAACTGATAAAAGACCGGATCCAGATGACCTGAGGGATCTGGATGGTTCATACTGGGTCAGGAGGTCATTGATGTATTTTGGTCCTAAACCATTCAGAGCTTTATAGGCCAGCATCAGAACTTTAAAGTCTATCCTCTGACGGACAGGCAGCCAGTGTAAGGACCTCAGAGCTGGACTGATGTGGTCCACTTTTTTGGTCTTAGTGAGGACTCGAGCAGCAGAGTTCTGAATGAGCTGTAGTTGTCTGACTGATTTTTTAGGTAGACCTGTAAAGATGCTGTTACAGTAATCAAGCCTACTAAAGATGAATGCATGGACTAGTTTTTCCAGGTCCTGTTGAGACATAAGATCTTTTATCCTTGATATATTCTTGAGGTGATAGTAAGCTGACTTTGTTATTGTCTTAATGTGTTTTTCTAAGTTTAGGTCTGCATCCATCACTACACCCAAATTTCTCGCCTGGTTTGTGGTTTTTAGATGTATAGATTGAAGTTCTCTGGTGACCTGTAATCGTTTTTCTTTGGCGCCAAAGACTATTACCTCAGTTTTGTTTTTGTTTAGCTGGAGAAAATTGTGGCACAACCAGTCATTGATTTCCTCAATGCATTTACCAAGAGCCTGTACAGGGCCTCGGTCTCCTGGTGACATTGTGATATATATTTGTGTGTCATCTGCATAGCTGTGATAGTTTATTTTGTTGTTGTTTATAATCTGTGCCAGTGGGAGCATGTAAATGTTAAACAGAAGGGGTCCCAAGATGGAACCTTGGGGAACTCCACATGTGATACTTGTCTGCTCAGATGTGAAGTTACCTATTGATACAAAGTATTTCCTGTTTTCTACGTATGTTTTGAACCAGTTTAGTACAGTTCCTGAAAGACCTGTCCAGTTCTCCAGTCGTTTGAGTAATATGTTGTGGTCAACTGTATCAAATGCTGCACTGAGATCCAGTAAAACTAGGACTGACATTTTTCCACTGTCTGTATTCAGACATATGTCATTAAACACTTTGGTCAGAGCGGTTTCAGTGCTGTGGTTCTGTCTAAAACCTGACTGGAAGGCATCGTAGCAATTATTCTGTTTTAAGAAGTAGCTGAGCTGTTGAGAAACTGCTTTTTCAATGATCTTACTTAAAAATGGGAGATTTGAGATCGGCCTGTAGTTGTTCATTTGTGTCTTGTCAAGATTGTCCTTTTTCAGTATAGGTTTGATTACAGCAGTTTTTAGTGATTCTGGAAACACACCTGATAATAAAGAAAAGTTGACGATCTGTAACAGGTCTGACTCTAAAGTCTTTGAGACCTTTTTGAAAAAACTTGTTGGCAGGACATCTAAACAGCAGGAGGAGGAGTTCAGTTGACCTAAGATGTCCTCCAGGTCTTTGCTGTTAATAGGTTGAAACTGTTTCATGGTGTTTAAACAGTTTTTTGGTGGACACAGTACATATCCTGGATCTGCTGTTGATGTACCAATTGCTTGTCTAATTTTTTGGATTTTTTCAGTGAAGAATTTGGCAAAGTCATTGCAGGCCATGGTTGAATGAAGTTCAGCTGCCACTGACACAGGAGGGTTTGTTAGCCTGTCAACTGTAGAAAATAAGACCCGAGCATTATGGCTGTTTTTAGTGATGATGTCAGAGAAGTAGGACCTCCTTGCATTCCTCAGTTGTAAATTATAATTGTGAAGTTTCTCTTTATAAATGTCATAATGAACTAACCTGGTGTGTGTGCTGTACATTTTCTTTCCTCCTCCAAAAGTAGGTCATTTGTGTTACCAGTGGTTAGTTTCCACTGGTAGGACCATAAGTGCTGATAAACTTTTCTTGGCAGCAGGCAGAAAGCAAAAAATGCACACTTAAAGTTATATTTACATTAATTAATTATTACATGTATTGTAAGTGAAAAAGTAACAAATTCTCTCACCCCTTGTCCTGACAGAGTGTACATAGTATCCACCACCACAATCAACTTCAAGCATTAGCTCAGTCAAAGTAGCTGCACGTCTCTCATGTGGAGCATGTGATTCATCCATATCAACAAAAGCAACACAGGAGTGTGTGCAAAGTGTTATCAACTCGAGTCTTCATGACAGGCTTGGTGGCTGCATCAATCTTTTATAGAATCTGTGTTAACACCAGAGGTCTTCTGGCAAGGAATGAATGCGTAGAAACTCTCCTGTGTTTGCAGAACTTTGCGTTCACAGTTAGCGCCCTGTGTTTTCCCAGTTTTTTCTTTAACATTTAGTAGTTGAAACAAAGAGTGTTTTTTTTAAAATTACTAACATGTTGCTTTTGTGGAAAGTGAAGCTTTTTAAAGTTAATCCTGGACACATTTTTCAATGTTTAGATTTTGTCTGAATCTTGAGCTTTACAATTATTTTCTCTTCCATGTGTCTTACATATAGATGTAAACAACCTAATTAAAAAACAACAACTAAAAAAACATATTGTATTATATCTACTATTATTTAAAAAGATAAGTTGGACAAATATTTGCCCACTATTGATGACATGGATTACTGTACTTGTCATAGTTGTAATTGGCCAGATATTTAAGTTTTTAGACAATGACAAATGTTGTAAAAATGTGATTGTAGGATAATCAATTAAGACGAGCTATTTGGGGACCTGTAAAGATAATGTTGAATCCTGTACTGCAGGATATCTAATGCAAATCCTGAAACTGAACTTCTGCTGGGCAATCCTGAAACAGTCTTCACCTCCTCCATCCATCTGCTTCATCCTGTATGCTGACTAAACATGCTGCTTGTCTGGATGCTGGGCTTCCCCATGCTCATCTTTTCAGTGTGTGGTGAGTGCTTAAGAGCTCTATGTGTCATAAACTGGCTGTGTAATGCAGGTGGGAAAGGATAGGTTGGATAGTATTTCATTTGGCAGTTAAGAACAAAACATTTTACTTTCTTTTTTAACTTCACTTTCAGTTTATGGCTTGCATTTAGTTTCAATGGCCACAATCTCCACATGTCAGCAGCGAGGGTAACGACAAACTGAAAATAATGGTGCTTTGTAAATGCTTCCCTTTTAATGAGATTCAAATTAAAATAAAAAAGATGAAACTTGTCACTGATATAACATCTGGATTTTTAACATTTAACATTTTCAAGTTAAAAGTGTTATTTATGGTTGAAACATCATCAGTAAATCATCAGAATCTAGCACCATTTACAAAACTTTGTTGCTAGGATCTTGAGTTTTGGTGGTTTTTGATTTACTTTTGGGTAAATAATTAATAATTTATGTTCTAGTTCTATGGTATTTAATTTAATGTCATTTCCTTAATGCTTCTGAATTAGCTTAGCTCTTAGCTCTTTTGTATTAGTGCAAGTTTCCTCTCTTGTCCACAAGCTGTTTGTCTTGTCTCTGTGATTAAACAGCATTTTGTCTCTGTGTTTGCTCTTTTTCTGAATCAGGTTTGTATCAGTAGGTCTTTGTGTTTGTTCGATTCCTGTTTTATTGTGATACTCTCTTGTCTCTTGTGAGTTGTGATGAGTTTACTCGCCACGCTATTCCTGAGTTCCTGAGTGTTTCCTATTAGTCTCCGCTTCCCTTAATAACTCTCTTGTGTCTATATTGTCTCAGTCTCCCTTTGATCTTCATCAGAGTTGTTCCTGGGTGTTATTCTGTTTCCTGATCTTCTTCCCCTAGTGTCTTGGGCACTTAGTGAGTTCTGTAGTTTGAACTTGTTTTTTGATTTAGCTTTTTGCTCTGTTTCATGTAGTTTAAGACCACTTGAAAAATGGCAAAAAATCATATTTTGCATGGTTCAATCTTAACAGGGCTCCAACCACAGCTTCAACATGAAACAAAAAGAAATGAGAGTGAGACAAAACATTCTTTTGATCATGCAACTTAATGAAAACAACGCTTAAACTGAAACAGGCTAGACATAGTCACATACTGTTGACTGTTGTGACTGAAAACATTTCTTTGTGAATAGCAGGTTGCCCTTTAACACTGACACCTTCTGAAATGGTTGTGAGATTTGGAGATCCAGTTTTAATCAACTGCAGCACATCAGCCACAGATGTTGAAGGGATGGGCTGGGAGGCTCCATTTGGAGGTACAGGATTTGAGCGTCCTCCTGTTGTCACTTGGAGGGTTGACAAAGTGGAAGAGTGGACTCCAAATCCTTTTTGCTATGTTACTCTAAATGATGGATCCCAGTGTACTGTGAGTCCACTCATCACTGTTTATAGTAAGTACATGTGCACACACTGTTTTATTGTGTTATAAACTACATGAACTGATATTTGTATTATAATACAACAGTGATTTCACTTATAATGCTCAGCAGGTATCTATTATCCTCTAATTACTCTGATTCAATTGTTAGTACGTTTTAGTCAAAATGAAAATCTATCTGCAACCAGCAACATCATGTGTGAAATAATGCATATTTTCTGTATGCTTATATTTGATTGTTTTTTTCCCCACTTTGATTTGTTTACAGAAACTCCAGACTCTGTGTCAGTGTCTGACATGGGTCGTGGTCCAATGGTGGAGGGCAGAGAGTATGATCTGAAGTGTGATGTCATCAATGTGGCTCCTGTTCAAAATCTCACAGTGACGTGGTACAGAGGCAATGAAACTGTGCTCACACAGATGTTTAATGACTCCACTATGACTCCAGTAAACGCATCTTCTACCCTGAGAATCTCCACTCAGAGAGATTACAATGGATTAACTTTTAGATGTGAGGCTGAGCTGCACCTCGGACCCAAAGGGCCAAAGTTCCCCCCTAATGTAACCTCACCACCTTACACTGCTGTTGTTCTTTGTAAGATTCCCACCAATTTACTTCATATTTTTTAATCTAAGACACAGCTCTGTGATCTATGAAATATAAATTAATCTATGTTGATATTCCTTCCTAGATAAACCATTCATGGAATCTTGTCCAGACTACGTCACTGTTAATGAAAGTGCTGCCTTCAGCATTGACATGTTATCCTGTCAGCCTGATGGGAACCCTTTTCCCACTGTTCAGTGGTTCTATGAGGAGAAACTCATCAATCCATCGAGGTCACTGACCAGGACTGACTCAGGAAAGTACACGGCTGTAGTTCAAAACAGTCGTGGCAGAAGCAACACCTCAGTTCATATCACAGTGGAATGTGAGTGCATCAGACCTGGGTCATTTTATATTTTAGCCGAATAATGATAAAACACACTAAAGTATTGACAAGATAATATTTTGTTTTCAGTTATTTACTTATTTATTTAAATGAATCTGATACCATTTTTACAGACAGTCCTTCTTTCACCTGCAAAGAGCACTATGAAATCACAGTGAATGATAAACATCAAAGTATCTGTGAACCAGTAGGATTACCTACACCCACCCTCACCTGGTTTAAAGATGGCAAACAGATGGTTTCCCCACAGCGCTGGAAAAAGAATGATAGTGGAAAATACTTGCTTAATGCACACAACACACATGGAACAGCTGAACACACACTGTATCTTGAAATTTTGTGTAAGTTTAAAATTTTCAGAATTATATTGTCTTTTTATGATTTCTCCACAGTGAAAATATATAATTTTTGAGATGATAATATATTTTGAAGGACATTACTTACTTTCAAAATTTTGTATTTTTTCCAGATTCTCCTGAGTTCAAGAATGGAAATGAAAGCAAGCAGGTGCTCCAGGGTGAAGATGTTACTTTAAGTTGTAGTGCTGACAGTAACCCACCTTCAAACATCAGATGGGTTTACACACCTGCTGTGAATTCAAATGTGACCACTGAGGGGCACCAGAAGATAATCACTATCACTAGAGCCACGTCTACCAATGCTGGTTTTTACATTTGTGTTGCAGAGAATAAAGTTGGGAGAAATACACGATTCGTCACACTGATGATAAAAGGTATGATTACTGACTCTGTGCAGAACAGTTATGGAAATGTAGGAAAAAATTACTGATGTTTAATTTCAACAATGCATGGCATGATGTATTAAACAGAAGTCACATGTTGTTTTATTTTGTTGGTCTTACAGGCAATACCAGTAAAGTCCTCTTTCCAGCTATTTGGGCTTTTCTCACTCTATTGATCATCGGTCTTACCCTCCTCGTGGTCTATTTTCACAACCGGCAAAAAAAACGTGGACAATACAATTTTGTTCCGGAGTGCCAAATGTCTAATATAGCCATTTGACTTTTGCACAAGCCAATGGCAATGCGTAGGATCTTTGCTGCATTCTGTTCTGCGTGTCAAACTCATTAATACAATTTAGATTTGTTAGTATTTTACAGATTAATTACATTATTGAATTTCAAGTTACATATTTATATATGAGTCATTGATTCATTAAAAGCTAGAAAATGAAAAGCATATTTACACATAAATGGATTATGATCCATTTCTAAACTTCATAGACCTGAAAACAGTATAAATGTGCAAAACAATAAAAAGGTTACACTTGTGATGCAAAAATACTGTGTTATCCAGTGCTATGAAGCAGGAAACTGTTAACAGTAACCCATGTTGTGTCCTCTATTTGGATTAAAATCTGTTTTCATGTATTATTTTTTATTTCTTTTTCACTTTCCTCACAAGGCAGCTTCTTTTTAGTCGTTAAATATTAGAGTTTAAGTATCTCGGGGTCTTGTTCATGAGTGACGGGAGAAGGGAGCGGGAGATCGACAGACGGATTGGCGCTTTGGCTGCAGTGATGCGGATGCTGTACCGGTCTGTTGTGGTGAAGAGAGAGCTGAGTGAGACAGTTGAGGTGGTTCGGGGATCTGAGAAAGATGCCTCATGGGCGCCTCATGGGTGAGGTATTCCAGGTATGTCCCACTGGGAGGCCCTGGGGCAGACCCAGGACACGCTGGAGAGATTATATCTCTTGGGTGGCCTGGGAACGCCTTGGTGTTCCACTGGAGGTCATAGGGGGTCATATGATAGATGTTTTGTTTTTTTTGTCTTTATGTATTATTGTAGGGTTATTTCTTTAATTTATTTACAGTGACACAATAGAGTGTCAAATAACAGATATGTCCATTATACGTTTATTGCTTGAAACCAGAGAACAAGGGCTACAATCCAAACATCAGAAACATGCATTACTGGTGTAAACCATAAAAGGGGAGCAAAGCTTACTTTTTGTATCCAAATAAAAATATCGATCTTGGCGGTTTACAGATGCTTACAGCACATGCATAACAAAGGACAACCTTTTTATTCTGGATCCACCTGAGATTATAGCAGAATATGAAGGAAAACCTCTCACTGTAAACTGCACCATCACATTGGATGAACATGAGTGGATGTACTAGACAGTTGGAAATGAAATCTTTCAGATCGAAGATGAAGGAATGTTTATCTCCCACTCAGTGCCACTGTCAGACTGGAATGAGAAGGCCAAGTGCAAAATAAAGTTAAATGAGTTTCACGAAGTCAGCAAGGACTTTCAAGTTATTGTATTTAGTAAGTTTCATTTTAAATATATACAGTGCAAAGAGAAAGTTAATAATTATTAAAATAAGTAACTAAGTTTTTCATCTAATGTTGTTTGCCAGAGAATCCAGAAGCTGATGATTCTGTACAGCATGTGAATGTGATGGGAGAAGAAACACAGAATTGGCTGCAGTGTGACATCATTAACACTATTTGTTGCTCCGACAAATACCTGACTGTTAGCTGGTACAAAAACAATGTAAAAAATGCAGACAGAATCTTTCAATGACACAATAAAAACACCAGTAAATGAGTCCTCTATTGAGTCAACCTCAGAAGAGAAAAATTTAGTTGAGATGGGATGTGATATGTGAAGCTCAGCTGGACTTTGGCCCATACAGACCAAAATGTCACGTTTTTTCTCAAACACACAGAGTTTCAGCAGACTGCAAGTAAACATCCTGGTCGTCTATACAGAAAGAGAGATATTTAATTAAAATTGTTAGCATAGATTAAAGAACACGAATAGTCTCAATAGCATGTGAGTAAATTGCAAGACTGCCAATTGTCTGAGAAACATAACCGAGACAATCCACGTTTATGTTGAACCAAGAGGTACACTTCCCTGTTTAGCTTACATCTAATGTGCTTGTGGGTTATTTAGATGATTTGACTGAATATATTTGCTTGTGAATGACAGGTTGCTCTCTAAAATTAGTACCTTCTGAAATTGTTGTGAGATCTGGAGATCCAGTTTCAGCTGCAGCACATCAGCCATACCTATTTTAATACTAAAACATTGGTAAACGAATGCATGTTTTATATATTTTATGTTAAGATGATATATATTTCTTTATTTACCTTCTTTACTTTTTTTTTTAAATATAAGACTACTGCTAGACTTTTTCCAGTCATGTGGGCTTTGCTTGCTCTGTTGGTCGTTGGCTTCATCTTCCTTGAGGTGCCTTTTTACAAATGGTAGAAAAAACATGGCCATTACACTGTTTCTCCTGACAAAGGGCCAGTTGGTTACGAGATCCCTTTGACATCAATCAGTGCAAATGCTTAGGACACTTGCTGCATCTGAACTGCAGCTTAATGACATTTGTAACCTAACTATTTGTCTTGCATTTCATTTATGGTTTACTTGTTTTTCCTTAAAGCTGATTTTCAGTCTTGAAACGTTGGATGTGTATGTTGGATGGCATTACTGCAACCTAAACAAGTTAAATAAAGTAGATTATTTGAAGCTGTAAAAAAATAATTTTGAGTGGTTAATCGTTTCAATCACACAGTAAGTGTCTGCAAGCATCAGTCAGAGAGTTATTTAATGTTGGAATTTAAACTCCATGGCAGGATTCATGTGGGGAAGTGTGAGATGGTCAATTAGGGAAGCACAGAATTTCCTGAGTGTGTCGGCTGTGGAACATGCACTTCTTGCATAAATGTATCACTTTAACCATTTAAGGGATTCAGGATGAAGCACAGTCTCCTAGCTAGTCTCTGTGTGGTTTAGGGTGATGTTCCTTTAAGATTTATAAGGATCTGGGAGTGGCGTGGATAGGAAACCTATTTTTATCCCATATTTCCTTCCTTATGTTAATTAACCAGACCCAGACTAACGAATTACAGCCCAAATTAAAAGTTTGAGCATTCTGATTCAGTATATATGCACAAAAAGAAAAGGTGGAGCAGAGAAGTATTCACATTTTGACCTTTTGGGATAACTTTGGAAAAGTATTTGGAATAATCTGACAGTTTAACCAACAAGCTGAATATTTGATTTGGACATAGATCACTGGGTGAGTTTGTCAGCTGCTTGGCTTGTGAGTAATTGTCTGTATATCAGAAATGCAATTTTTTAAAGCAGTGCAAGCTGTGAAAGAAAGTGTGTAATTTTCACAATATGTCAAGTAAACTTAGAAGTGCTTTATCCCTCCATTCTGTTTAATACAAAAAGTGTTTTTAGCTCGGCCAGTGGTTTCCTATCATGCTGAACAGAACATTAACTTAATTTTATAAATAGTTTTAATACTGAGAGTCACAAAGTAGGAAAACTCAAGACGCTCTTCCCATAATTCCCGAACATCCCATTTTGGAGTTACTGTTAATCTTGCAATGTCCAACACCATTGCAAGAGATCATGGGTAGAGCAAATGAAATTTGGCCCATTTTGACATTTGCTAGTATAAAACTCCCCAAAATGTTCTAAACTGACCCAAATTGTACACGAAAGCCTTACATTTTTCTGAAAGCTCCAAATTTGATCTTGTTTTACAGGTGCTGCAAATCTTTGTACACCGAGGCTGATCTAGGTCAGACTGGACCTGTATATATCCAACTAGTTTCATTGTAGTTGGATATATACAACTGTGTCTATGAATGCAAAACTGTGCATTCATAACTTCGTAACTGCCATTTTAATGATTATCAGCTGAGGACCTTCAATGATAATTTTGACTCCTGTGCCTCACAACATCTAATGCAAATCCTGAAACTGAACTTTTTCTGGATGTTCCTGAATGACACCTCATCTCCTCCATCCACCTCCATCATCCTGCATGCTGTCTGCCACAATGCTGGGCTTCCTCATGCTCATCTTTTCACTGTGTGGTGAGTGCTGAAGACATCTCTGTGGATCTGACATACTGTGTATTAATTTATTTAATAATGGTTAGAGACAAAACTTTTAACTTTCCCTTTTAACTTCACGCTTAGTTTATTGTTGGAAATTTAATTTCAATGGCCTCCATGAGTTACAAGTAAAGGTAACTGGAAAAAGCAAAAATAAAAAGAATGATTTGTAAATACTGAGATTTGAACAAAAGACAAAAACATTCAAATTATTATTGATGGAAGAGTTACAGGTATGTGTTATTGCGGAACAAACTTCTGATCTCAATCAATAAAGTGAGTGTGGTGGTCAACAATTCATGGGTCTGTCGGTTGAAACTTTGCTCACTGGAAACTTTATGACCAGTAGGAGCTACAGTAGCGTTACTTACCTGCAACTGACGCGAAAACAATGAGAGGATCATCACACAACCCTTCAATAACACAACACAACAAATAAGTCCAGTATCCTGAGAGTCAACATAACCAGAGAGAAAAATGTAGTTGAGTTCAGATGTGAAGCTCAGCTGGACTTTGGACTGCATGGACCAAAACTTCATGCCATTTCTCAAACACACAGTGTTTCAGACCACTGTAAGTAAATATCCTAATGTTTCTAGGAAAATACAACATTCACTTAATTTTCCAATTTTGAGTCAGTAAAACAATGTCAAAACCAGTGTAGTTAGGTGCCATATATCTATATCTATATATAAGATAAGATAAGATAAGATAAGATAAGATAAGATAAGATAGAACTTTATTAATCCCTCGGGTGGGTTCCTCTGGGAAATTCGATTTCCAAAAAAGCACAGCACCGACAGAAGTTACAGAGTTATACACACACACATATATATAAATACAGAGACAATATAAATAAAATATACGAAGGGGATAAATAGAATAAATAGGAATAAAAATAAAAATACAAGTGAATTGCACATTTCAAGTATTGAGTCTATTGCACCGTTGACTATTTACAAAAGTATTGCACAAGGTATTGTACAGTGAGGTGAAGAGGCACTACAGCTTAGTTGTTCCCTCCTTTGTCCTCCTGTTTCCCCTCCCTCTCCCCTCCAGAGAGGAGTTAAACAGTCTGATGGTGTGTGGGACAAAGGAGTTTTTAAGTCTGTTAGTTCTTGTCTTTGGGAGAAGCAACCTGTCACTGAACAGACTCTTCTGGTTGTTAATGGCCGTGTGCAGAGGATGCCTGGCATTGTCCATAATGTCCATCAGTTTCTTTAATGTCCTTTTCTCTGCCACTGTCACCAGAGTGTCCAGCTTCATGCCGACCACAGAGCTAGCCCTCCTGATCAGTTTCTCCAGCCTGGATGAGTCCTTCTTTGCTGTGCTGCTCCCCCAGCACACCACAGCATAGAAAAGTATATATATATAGATATAGATATAGATATAGATCTATATCTATATATCTATATATATATATATATATATATATATATATATATATATATATATATATATATTAGGGGTGCAACGATGCTCGTATCGATATTGAACCGTTCGATATAGTGCTTTCGGTTCGGTACGCATATGTATCGAACAATACAAAAATTGTAATTTATTTTATCAACTTTCCTTCTGACGATGCTGTCTGTG